GAGAGAGAGAGAGAGTTTTTAATATTTATTTTTCAGTTTTCAGTGGACACAACATCTTTATTTTATCTTTATGTGGTGCTGAGGATCGAACCCAGCGCCCCACGCATGCCAGGCGACTGCTTGAGCCACATCCCCAGCCCTGCTGTCACTATCTTGAAAATAATAGTTTTGAATGAGACACTCTGCATTTCAGTTTGAGGCCCACAAATCATGACCTGAGTGAAATGTTCCCATATCAGGGCAGAGCAAGTGTGTCAACTAAAATAACAACACAAAAAAGTGGTTCTTCAAAGAATTTAATTTACTCAGGAATAAATGAGGAATTACAATGAAGGATATATATGACATGATGAATCACAGTCGCACCTAGGGAGGCAAATGAAGATAAGGGCATTTTGTAAGTACTTATGGTCCTAAACCCAGGGGCACTCTACTACTGAGCTATATCCCTACTCCATTTATTTATTTATTTACTTACTTACTTATGAATGAGACAGGGTCTTGCTATTTAGCCCAGGCTGGCTTTGAAATTGTGATTCTCCTGCATTGGCCTCCAGAGTCACTGGGATTACAGGTGTGCACACCATGCATGGCAGGAAGACAAGGATTTTTAAAGGCAAAATGAGAAAGGTAACATAAATTGTTTTGAAATGATTATCCTTGGCTACAAGTATCACCAACGAGGGTTACATTGTTCCAACACTGAATAGGCAGTTGCTGAGTAGGCATCTTTATTGAAGTATGGTAAGTTGTATAAGGTTGTGGAGGCCTTTGTGCAAGGTTATGGTTTTCAGAGAGACCTTGTAATAGTTTTGGTCATATACAAGTGTGTGTGAGAGCCCTCTTCCTTATGGTATCCTAACACTATTTTGTTAAGATTTGGCATGAGTGACTCCATTTTGGTTCTGATAACTTTCATATGATAGGAGGAAGGGTACAAGGAATGTCTGGTGTATTATTGATGATGATCAGAATTAGTAAACTTCTCCAAAGTTCTTTTTAAACTTAATTGAAGCCTAATTAATTCATTGTCCACATGCCATCACTCAGCTTTATTTCACTGACACATTTGTAAAAGTATTTTGGGTTTTTTTGGTACTGGAGCTAGAACTCAGGGGGGTTTTAGCCATGAACTACATCCCCACCCCCACCCCTTTTTTAAGATTTTGGGACAGGGTCTTGATAAGTTTCCCAGGTTAACTTCAAACTTGTGATTCTTTTGCTTCAGCCTCCCGAGTTGCCGAGATTAAAGGTGTGCACCACCATGCTCAGCTTGCAAAGCATTTTTTAAATTAAGCAGTGCCTTTGACAACCCTCAGGAACTCAACACAAATACACACCCAGTCTTTCAAACATCCACTGAGATGTTACACATCATTAGCAGATATTAGCGCCATTCATAATTGGTATCAAGAGCCCCTAAAATGCAATCCTACCCCCAACCTAGCTACAACAGATTCTCCCAAAGTTCACAATAACACACACATTAAGGACATCTAGCTAAGTGTGGCAACATCTGCATAACCCCTCTCATTTTGACAGGTGACAAATTTTCAGGGAATAGCCAATATGAAGGTTGACTATGTGCAGACTACTGAGTCTGCAGTTTGCATTTGAACATTTTTTCCCTGCAGTACTGACTGAACCAGGAGTGCTCTACCACATCTCCATCCTTTTTTGTTTTTTTTATTTTCAGACACAGTCTCATTAAGCTGCTGCTAAGGTTGGTCTTAAACTTGCAAACTTCCTGCCTCAGCCTCTCAAATAACAGAGATTACAGGCATGCACTACCATGCTTAGCTAATTTCTGATTTTTTTTTTTTTTTGGTACCTGGAATTGAACCCAGGGGCACTTTACCACTGAGCAACATCCCCAACCTTTTTTATTTTTTATTTTGAGACATGGTCTCATAAGTTTCTCAGGTCCTCACTAAATTGTAGAGGCTGGCCTAGAACTTGTGATCCTCATGCCCCAGCCTCCCAAACTGTAGGATTACAGGCATGAGCCAAAAAGCCCAGTTCTGACATGTTCAAATGCAGCTGGACACACCACTGACTTGGGAGACTGAGGCAGAAGGGTTGTAAGTTCAAGGCCAGCCTTGGCAACTTAGTGAGACCTTGTCTTGAAATTAAAAAAAAAAAAAAAAGAAAGAAAGAAAAGAAAGAAAGAAAGGGCTGAGGATGTAACCTAGCGGTAGAGCATTCCTGGGTTCAATCCCAAGTACAAAAAGAAGAAAGAAAGGGAGGAAGGGAGGGAGGGAAGGAAAGGAAAGGTTTAGAAAGAAAATTAAACTAGAAATTATGTGTGTGKGGGAGTAATTTCTGAGTGCCTAGGAAGGATAAGAAGCTTGGCATCTTGAAAGTACATTAGAAATATTCCTATAGTTTTCTAGATTTCCATGGAAAACCAAAAATTGTCATTAAGTGGAAACTCAGTAAGGAAATAAGGTGATTTTATGTCCTTGGGATTGGGGATCTTGAAACTGCAAAGGTTCTGAGTTGAGCCCCTGCAGGTACAGAGCTCTGGTTTAATGAGGATGACCCAAGTCAAGGCAAAACTAGCAACTCCACTGCCTCTCATGATAGAGCAAATCTAGGGTTTTAGATAAGAAATGCAAGGGCTAAGAGGGGGTAGAGTGAAAAACTATGTCCTTACTGCTCTCAGGTTTCCTGCAAGAAATCCCAATGGAGAAGACATGGCTGGCTGGGTAAATGAGTCATGGGCTTTATAAGCTAAGGGAGCTGGAAGGCAGATTCCAGGAAATAAGTAAGGAGGAATCACAGGGAAGGTTTTCAGTTTTAGTGTGAAACTGTTAAGATGTAATGCTATTCTGGGAACTCAGGAGAAAAACAACATGAGAAAGACTAGAGAAATTGCAAGGATCCAGACAGCTCAAGTGAGAGAAAGCCTGTGTCTTTGGGCAATTTAAAACAACTGACCAAGATGGCATGGACTGGGCAAGTTACCAAAMAGGGCGATAGTTTCCCGGTGCCCAAGACCTCCAATCATTCATAATCCAACAGGTATTCATTGAGCACCCAGCAAGTTCCTGTGACATGGAGTTTTGAKTGAGGCACAATGGTCCCCAGCCCTGCAAGACTCATAGCCAATAAGCAAGAAATCACACTTGTATTGAGCAACAAGGAAGAAAGTTCAAGGATGTAAGGCAACTGTGCAGTCCTGGAAGATTCTCTATACCTGGGGGAGGAAATGTTCAGAAATAAAGGTCAGAATAAATTCCAGGCAGAGGCTGGAATGAGCAAGCTGCAAGAACTACAAGGAGAGTAATTTTGGGAACTGAGTACAAGAATAGACTAGATGGGCCAAAGAGGTTTACTTTATCATAAGCTGCACATTTGTTTTATGCAATTTTCTGTATTTGTTTTGTTTTGCAATAAAAGAAGACAACAGGAACAACAAAAGACTACATGGATCCTTTATATTCTATTTTGGGCAAACTTAATAAGGTGGAGGGAGCATCTCCTAAGTACCAGGCAGCTTGCTTGGTGCTTTGTTTATTTACAGAGCAATTCTGTTCATCAGGGTTTACTGAGCTCCCTGAGCTAGGCCCACCCATGAAGCAGAGGGCATAGCAGGATCAAAGGTCTGAGGTGGGACCACCTAAAGCAGTCTCAGGGAGAGCCAGGAGTCCTATGTGGTTGGAGAAGGATGAGGGTGCATTGGCCTGAAGGAACACAGGCTGATCTTCAGATTTTAGTCTGGTGGGAATAAAATAATTTGGAGAGATCAGATCCGTGGGAAGCCAAGGCCATGAGGGGGAAGTCCCATATCAGCACATTCTCTTCTGTGTGACTGTTAGAAATAATTAAACTGGGGACCTAACAGCTGCAACCAGGACCCTTTAGGAATTCAGGTCCTCCCTGAATGACACATAGGCCAGCACTCCCTCTGGGCAGCCCTGTGGGTGAAGGGAAACTCATTGGGTCCTTTTATCAAATGTGCTGACTTGTGGCCATATGCACACCAGCAAACCCTTTGGCTTCCTGGGACAGCACCCTCAGCTCTCAGGAGCCTAGGCTGATGGCTGCTTTTCGCCCAGGACAATTGACTTCTGGTCCAGGTCCCTCAGCCCTTCAAAGATCCTAATTCARCTTACAATGGCATCTAGGGGAACAAGGGAGCCTTGGACAGGAAGGTAAGACCCTTGGGTCCCATCCCATTCTTACCCCACTAGTTCACTGTGGTGACTCCCAAGTATGGCCTTGTTCTCCTGGAACTCAGTGGCTTTTGAGATCTGCACCTTCTTAGTGTGGGAATCGGGCACAAGTTGAGTCACATGATGCAACGAGGATCTGGCCTTGGAGTGGAGAGCCCTGGTGGTCCTTTTGAAAGGGGCTGCAGAAAGTGAGGAAGGAAGCCTGGAGCGCTGTAAGGGCAAAGAAAGAAGATCCTGATCAGCATGAGTCCCAGGGAAGCTATTTGAAAGAGAGTTGTTTCCTAGCTGAGACCTAATGGGTAAGAAGGAGTTAGCCAGATGAAAGAGTTCAGCCTAGCCTGTGCAAAGAYGGGGAGGCATGGGTGTATTCAGGGGCCACAAAGAAGTTTAGTCTGACCAGAGGTAGGACCTTCTAGGGAAACATAGCCAAAGATGAGGGGCCGGTGGGGAAGTGAGGAGGTCAATTCATCGCATGCAGAGACTATGCAGCTGTTCTGTGGAGAATGGACGGGCATGATGAAACAAGGACACAAAGGCCAGGCAGGAGGGGCAGGTTGTGGCCTAGCCAAGGGCACGGTGGCATAGGTAGGAAGGAGAGGGCTCCCTTAAGGGCTGACGGAGGGTCAGGAGGAATAGTCTGAGGAGATGGGGTTGACTACACAATAAATTTGGGGTGCTCAAGGGTCATTCTAAGGCAAGGAATGGAGTGAAAGACGGGGGTACTCAGACTCTAGAAATCACGGGGTCAAAAAAAGGGGGGCCTGGAAGTTGTTGGGATGCCCCAGAGAGAAGTATTAAGGAAAAGGAAAGAGGGCCCAGCCCCCAAGGATCAGGAAAAGAGCCAGTTCAGAAGACCCAGGAGGAGTAGTCACAGACGTCAAAGGGAGCTTCCGAAGAGAGGAGAACTGGCTGTGAGCAATATACCTGGAATAGCTTGAAGCAGGGGAGGATTGAGAAGTGGAGGAACAGGGAGCACTTACCCCTCCTGAAAAGGCTTGGGGATGTGGAGACAGTTTTAATTGCGGCAGTGGTGTTCCAGGGCCCTGACCTGCGGCCAGGTTTGAGTATGAGCAGGGCCAACGCACCAGACTGAACAGGTTGGGTGGTCACTGCATACCAGTAACTATCTATTCACAAAAAAAGGGCTGGAGACCATGGGGCAGCCCTAGAGTTGGCGGTATTTGGGCAAGCCTATAACTGCAGCGCGGACACTTCCCACATGGTGGCGCCAAAGATCAACTCTAGATTTGGACTAGGCGGAGGTAGCGCAGGGGTCAGCAATTTGGGGATCCTAGGCCGAGGTCACCGTCCCATAGCTGGAGGGGATTGCCAGATGCCTGGTGGCTCCGGCCTTCTGCACCACAACACCTCCCAAGTTTCTGTCAGAACCCTTCTCCTATTGGTAGGTAATCCCAGAAATAAAATTACACACCACACACGTCGGCATTCTGGGGCCTGACCTGAAAGGGTACCCGAAGGGACAGCTCGTCCCATGATCTGGAAGCAGCAAAGACGTCCCTCCCACTTGTCCCTTAGGAGAAGGGAGTCAGGAAGGAAGGAAGGACGCCCATCCCAGCCCTCAGGGACCGACAAGCAGACTTCCCACCCTAGCTCAGCATGGCCCTGCTCACAACTCCCTCTGGAGGCCAAAGGTAGACCAGTAGGGACAAGGGCAGAGACTGCCCACTCTTGGGTGAGTCCCCAGGGAAGCCGCCTACCCGGTCTAGAAGTTTACACCTCCCAGTGCAGAGGCCAACTTGGAGATTCCCCAATAAGTAATGGCCAAGTTGCTTTCCTTTTGCAATGATCCCATGTTCATTGCAAATCTTTCCTAGTTTAAGTAAAGACAAAGAAAAGCCAACCAAGTGAAACTGCAATGCTCAGACAGGATGGTCACTACTGACAGCGCTCAGGGCCAATGGATGCAGGTTCACCTGAAGACACTCCTGCTACACAGGCAGTGCTGGAGCCTTCTCCACTCCACTATGCTTATTGTGTTGAGCACATTTCCATATTCATAGATATAAAATGCTTGCTCCCCACCCTGACCTGACCTTACCTCTTTCCATCTCCTCCAACCTACATAATTAGAATATAGCAACCTATTCTTACCTCCTTGTCATTGCTCTTGCTGTTTCATCTTACTGGGACATTCTTCCTATAGATCATTCCACAAGTGCTTCCTGGTCCTAGGTCTCAGCTCCAATGTTACTACCTTATAGAGGACTTCCTTGACCACCTGGAAAAAGTAGCCCCTAGTTCTATCCCTCCAAACTTCATTATCATGGCTTGTTTTCCTCACAGCTCTTCTCTCTCAGAAATCATTTTATCTAGCTGGGCACACAGTAGTGCACACCTGTAATCCCAGAGGCTCAGAAGCTGAGACAGGAGGATCTCAAGTTCAAGGTCAGCTTCAGCAACTTAAGGCCCTAAGCAACTTAGTGAGAACCTGTCTCAAAATAAAAAATAAAAAAGGGCTAGTGATGTGGCTGAGTGGCAAAGCACCCCTGAGTTAAATCCCCCCACCAAAAAAAAAAAAAAAACAAGAAATCATCTTATCTATAGGTTAATTCATTTATTGTTTCTTTGGGCTAGAGTATAAACTCCTTGAGATCAGAGTTTTTGCCTATCTGGTCCACAACTGTGTCCCAGCATCTGGAACAATGCCAGGCACAAAGTAGATGCTCAGTATGTGCCTGACATCTATTTTTAATGGCAACAGAGTAACTCAAAGCATCAAAAAAAAAAAAAACAAAAAAAAAAAACACTTTCAGCCCTCTTTCTCCTACTGATAAGCTGTGCTATCCATTTAGCGCTGGTCAAACAAGTCAGTAATCAACATCACAGGCACCATTCTTTTCCTGCTTGATCAATTATTTCTTTGGAATAAATTTCTCAAGGAGGAATGGCAAGATGAAAGGGAGATTTGCACTTAACTTCCTGAAATATACTGAATACACTACTCAGAAACACTCAAATCAATCCCTACTCTCCTAGTCATCACTGCCAATCTCAGGCCAAAAACGGGTGTCTTCTTGTTTATATTTGCATTGTTCTGGTTATTAATGAGATGAAGTGCCTCTTCAATTTGAATTTTTGTTTGTGTGGGGGGGAGGGGTGATACTAGGGATTGAACCCAGGGTTCAATGAACTACATCTACCACTGAACTACATCACCAGCCCTTTTTATTTATTTATTTTTAAAATTTTGAGACAGTATCTCACTACATTGCTGAGGATCTTAATAAATTGCCAAGGCTGGCCTTGACTTTGTGATCCTCTTGCCTCAGCCTCTGGAGTTACTGGGATTGAGGGTGTGTACCTAGGTGCCCAGCTTCAATTTGCAATTTTAATGAGTGAATGGATGGGTGCAGTTAAAGCATCAGAAAGGAGAAGAGGCTCCAAGAACAGCAGGAGTGGTAAAGCCTTGACTTAAACACAGGTCAGCATCTTGGTACTTGACCTTTAACATACATGATGGAAAGTAGGGTCCAGGCGGGGGATGGAGGGTGGAGATAAGTTGTGGGTATAGGCTTATAGTCCCACACCTAGCCCTCTCAAACATGCCTCTGCCCGCACCACACACTGAAGTGCACTATCAGCCTACTTTTCTGGCACTTTTGGTCTTATCTCACTTGACCTCTTGGTCATATGATTGACCACTGTCTCCTTCAGAAGCTGTCTCCATCCCAGGAGACTCTTTCCTTTATCCACATGTCCAGCTGCCTTCTAGATATGTTCTTTTTGATGGTACCCAGAGCCCTAAGACGCCACCTGCTCAAACTATGTCATCTTCCCTATCACCTGGTCCTCCACCTCAAWGAAGAAAGGTGCATTCACCCATCACCTAGGCCCAAGCTTCCCCTCACCCTGCTTTGGTGACAGAGAAGGCACAGAGACTTGGAATCATACCATTTCTGATTGACTGTGAGCCACCAGAACAGGAATGAGTGTAGTGCAGCATCACCTCTGGGCGCCCCAGCGTTGGTGTTCATACAGCAAGTATTCCACAAATGCTTGCTGAATATCTGGAGAATGAGCGAATGATATAGCCACAGCCACAGTAAGAAGCAGGCTTCTGTTCTCTCTTCACAGAAAGCTGGGGGGAAGCTGCCCATCAGAGGGCTGTAACCCATGGAGGCTAGGGAGCAGGGTGAGGTGAATCTCTGGTTTTCTGGGTTTTGGGAAATGAACTGCATGACTTCCTAAAGTGGAACAGCACCATGTGTGAGCACCTGGGGTTCACTGGGCTCTCATCATCCTATGCCATCTGTTAGAGGGATTTTTCTCAGGCCTGAGTCTACCCTTCCAAGAATATAAACTCCTCCAGGTTAGAAGTGCCCATGATTCCTTGCTGTGCCCAGCTTCCAGCACAGCATAAGGCGGAGGATGTGCTCAGAGAGCAATGCCTGACTCAGGCAGAGCTGAACTGATGATGACTCAGAGAGCTGAGCTGAAGCTCAGACTCAGTCCTTCCTAACCACAACACCATGGAAACTTTCTGCCTTTCCTGAGCTTCAGGGGTCTCCTTTGTATAAGGGTTTCTGCTGTATCCTTTCTGATCCAGGGTAGTAGTTGTTGGGAAAATGTCTGGCCCTCAGATGCTGCCCCTCCCTCTCTCAAGACCACGGGCAGGGGGAGAGGGCCAGGTGAATTTGAAGGTGTTCCCTCTATTCACTGCAGCCCCATTTGTGCCTGGTTCTGGTCACAGACAAGGAAAATAGGCAGTGATGGGTGCTTCAAGAGGACACAGGTCCCCCTGAGGTGGCACATTTGAGCGGTTTTTCAAGAGAATGGGGGGAGTAACATTGCAGGTAGAAGGGAGGCACAGAGAAAAGTCAGAGGCCAAAACGTAGGGACAATGTTCAGGAAGTTACAGGCAGGCTGGTGTAAGGCAGACCAGGTGTAAAATAGGTGGGAGATAAGGAGGTGAGATCATCTCAGGCCAGATCTTGGGCCTTTGAGGCCCATCAGTGTCTAGACTTACCCTGAGGGCAATAGGGAACCACTGAAGCCTCTTCAGCAGGAGAACAAAATGATCCATTCATGATTTGTAGAACAATAACATGATCCGATTTTTTTTTTCTTGTGGTACTGTGGATTGAACCCCAGGGCACTTTACCATTGAGCTACATCTTCTTTCTTTCACTCTATTCGTTTCTTTTCTTCCAACAAGTTCTCTCCAATTTGTCCAGGCTAGCCTTGACATT